TAGTACCTACTATTCATTAGGCGCGCACAGTAGACAGATATTTGTCCCTACTTCGTCTGATTCATTCAGTAAGGAAGTGACGTCATTTACGTTTCCCAAACCGGCCGCATTCACCTGTTTTTTTTTATTCAAGAAGAGTAATGCGCATATACAGTCAGGTAAAAAAAACAATATCACAATGTAAATCAATTAAAGAACAGATTAAATAACTAAATAACATACAGTACATAAAGGAAAGTACAGTAATATACAGAATATAAAATAAACCAATAAAGACGCATTTAAATAGTGAAATCATTATTTAAATAGAGGGGGAAAGGTTTTATAATAATGCAGGCATTTGTTTTATTTTCTGTTGTTAATTTAAAGTAATGATTTCAGTCGGGACTTTAACTCTAGATTAAAAATTGATTAAATTAATCCACGCTCGTTTGTTTTGATTTGGAGGCGGACGTGACGATTTACGTTTAATTTCGCACAGCATTGTGGGTGGTAAAATACAATTCATTTCCTGAAAGCACGCATCCGATCCATACTGCATAAAAACCGGAAGTTAGTATCCATACTGAAATGTTCAGTATACTGAGGTGGACCCAAAAAATGCATACTGAATGACCACGAAAGTTCAGTATTCTGAAACTCCCTACTGAAAAGTACGTGCTGCCTACTGAACTGTGGATATTCTGAAACGGCCTCTGTCTTTTCTATTTATCACAAAGAAACGCCTCAAATTAAATATTTTTAACAGTAAAAACATTGACCAATTTTTTTTACAACACACTATAATGTAGCTTGAAGAAAATATAGACATGTTTTAAGTATTTTTTTAATTATCTAGTTTCATAACTTCCTCCATAAATCATTTTTCTACATTGTCATGAAGTGTTTTGTCGCCTCCCCATATGGGTTCTGACAGATGGAGTTAAAGTGGTTGACAAATACATATATCATTAACAATATTGTGTTATCAATTATTTAAGACACGTTTACATGCTACTTGCTGATTGATATTTCAATGATTTATTCTCTCCTATCAGAGTGTAACAAACTTGAAGACTGCCCAAAGACTCCAGTCCGTCTGCCCTGCTCCCCTACGATGCCCTCCTGTCTCCCCGCTCCTCTGAGCCGTGTGACCTGGACTCTCCGTCCTCCTAAGCACGGCACAGTGGAGCTGACCTCTCCTACTGGACCCCTCAGACAGTCCCTACCTGGACAGCCGTGCAATGACAGCTTCATTATCGAGGCCGTTGAGGACGATGGCAGCATCATAGGACATTTCTGCCCTCAGGGAACTATCCAGAAGATCCAAATCCACACCAATGTGACGGTCACTGTGACCATATTTGAAAAAAAAGCCACAAAGACGTCTTTAAAGCATGTGCTGGAGGCAAGACTGAAAGAGGAAATATTTGGTAACAAACTGCTTCAATTGATGAAACATTGAATAAAAAAAAAACGTGCTTTATATTGATTCTTAATGTTTTTTTTTTTGTAACTCGTATCCAGAAAGATACATATTCACAGTGTCTCCAAAAAGAGACACTCCTGTCCTGTTGGCTTCTCCTGGTTGGCCAGTAGGAATGAAGACTGACTCCACCGTCTCCTGGATCGTCTCTTTTCCCACGAAGATGGAGGCTCACCTGATGTTTGCCAACCTTAGCCAGCCCAAGTGCGAGAAAGGCCACACCAACATCCGTGTGCAGAGAGTCGGCCGCAAGGAGGAGGAGTACAGCCGCATAGAGTACGAGGAGGCCGAGGAAGAGATCACAGTCTCACAGAGTTTTTACCTCAACATGTCCAACTGCAAGCCCGAACGAGGACATTTCAGTGTCATCACCATGATCACCCTGCAGAAGAGCCAGAGTAAGAGGACTTTTTGAAATCTAACTTCTTCTCTATTTAATTTTTTTTTAATGATGAGTATTATGGTCAAAGCATACTCTATTTTAACGCCATAAGAAGGTGGCAGGAAGCTACAATATAACAGAACTATTCCTAAAACTTATTTGTGAAGTATAAGAATGTTTGTTTGTCACCAGGCTAAGTTGTTCCTTAAAGAATATCATGGCCAATGACTCATTACAACGATGGTACACTTAACTTTTGTTTATGGTAAATGTGTTCGTGAAACGTTGTGTTTGTTGTTTCTCTCATTTAGACCTTCTTCTGACTATCATCCTGAGTGTGGTGGCTGCTCTGTTGGTCATTTTTGTTATCGTGCTTGTTGCCGTCTGTGTGGTGATAAGGTAAGTGCATCTGCTTTAAAGTTTTATTCAACATTCAATTCAATTCTTGATCATTTCACTCGACAAGTAGGCGTTTGAGTCATTTCCTACGGCTCGCTTGCTAAAAGAATTCCACAAGTTTTATTCTAACAAAAATAAAAAAAAGGTTCTAACACAGTGTGTTACTAAACTTCATGTGAGCCTCAATCTATGCTATAGATGTATCTTTTAATACAACATGTTGTGATAAGATTCTTACTGTCTTTTCTCTCATGACAGGAAGAAGAAGAAGAGGCTGAATCACCAAGTGTCCATTTATAATCCAAATGGCACCAGCATCCTGCCAGGTAACAATGGCTTCCCAAAAACTCGGGAAGACAACGAGTCTCATGTGTACGACACCATCGAGGACACGCTGGTCTACACACACCTGCTGAGGAAAGGAAGAGAGATCGGTGTTTACGGAGAGTTTGACACATACCGGCCCTTCACAGGACACACAGACTTGCAAAAGCCACTGGTGTTAAAAGACACCGGTGTGGAGGACGCGCAAGTGGGGACCTACCAGCCGGTTTCGTTCCCATCTCAACAGGCTCCTCCCCTTCCTGTCAGACCTCCGAGCCATGTTAGCCCCATGGTGGACAATGAGATTTACCAGACTGAGGAGCAAAGTGAGGACGAGCGTTCTCCCAATCTGGGGCCCCGGCTGGAGCCAGAGGGAGGAAACTGAGGAAAAGATTGGATTCAGCTTTCTGCTTTCCATTTGACCTCCATGAACTTTGAAATTTTCATTCCCTGGCTTGTGTGTGATTACCTGGTGTTCAGCCCTGTCAGAACTCTTTGTTGTTCCTCTAGAGCATTGTTTTGCACCAAAGCTGGGCACACAAAATGACACTGTTCAAACCTGCCTGCAGCTGTTACTGTTGAGTTATCCCAGATGAATGCACACTGCTTTTTTTTCCAAAGCAGACAAAATCTTTTGTTTTTTACTATAATTTTTTGCAATTAAAAAGTTTTAGACAATGATCTTTTTTTTAACGTGAGATATTTTGTACATATTATAACTGCTTATACAGGACCAAATGTGTGTGCTGTTTACATGCTGACTGTTGTATTTTTATTTCTGAACTGGTGAATTGAGACACTGCTGCTCTTGTAATACACCACATTTTTTAAAGCATCATAGAACTTTGATGGCTTATATTGCAACATGAGTATGTGTGCATCATGGCTCTATTCTCTTCATTATTCATCTCTGCGTTACCTGCTCTGTAGTTTTCTAGATCCAGCATCATCACACCATAAATGTGCCTAACAGAGGTGTCAATACACTCCTACTTCAATATATAAAGAGTTTTGTTTCTGCTTGTTTAGGTCTACAGGTGAACCTGTTTAACAACAACATATTTAATTGTATTACTTAGTAGTATGGACCCACACTTTTATAATTCCCAAGACCGACCTGCTGCTTGCAATGTGATGTTTCTCTGATCATAAAAATATGTCTAAGTTCTTCCTTTGTGCTTCCCAAAGAATGAGAGACGCACTAGTCAGAGGTCATATTTGAATATTTGTTTTGAAATCTATTTCAACCTGTGAGAAAAAAGTGACTTAATCCAATGAAATGTATTTTATTTGTTTGATGTTTTTATTAATTACAGGGAATATCTAAAGAGCAACATGTTAGCTCCAAGTTACAATGTTTGTAAATGTTTTCAGTTTGTAGATTAAGTTGGATAGATATAATACTATATCACATTAAATTGTTTAATTTAACGTAGTTTGGTCTTTTCTGAGGAGAAATAATGGTATAGTTTTACAATCTAACTTGAAAATGTCTTGTTGCCTCCTGCAATTAAGGGAATGAACTGCAGAGGGAGGCAAAGTTGCAATAAATCCATTTTAATTCCTAAAGAAATCAAGCTAGTTTCATAACTTTCTCCTTGTTTTGTTACTTCATGCAAAATATAACCATGAATACTTAGCTGGCACAGGTTTTGAAAGGGACTGACATGAGAGCATGCTGTTCTCACACACACACTGTGGCTGACATCAGTGGATGTCCATGGAGACAAACATTTTGATCTGATGTAACCCTCCTTCTGGTGAGTAAGCCATTGAACTCATCAAGCAGGAAGGCTCATATACAGATGGTTTTAATACAAGAACAGAATATCTCAAGAAGGTTTGATAGTTCACTTTTTGGAAATTTGAAAATGTTTTAAAAAAGGTCATTTTGATCCCTTCACACCAGAGGCAAAAAAAACCCAAAAAACATTAAAACTATAAAAGAGTTCTTCGGAATATGTCATAATGCATATTCCCCTGTATGCCTGAATTTCTATATGAATTTGTAACAAGTCAGAAGTTCAATTAAAGGACCAATATGCAACTGTGACACCTAGTGTTTAAAATGGGTACTGCAGTCAAAACATTGGAGAGAGTTGATGTGCATGCTGGTTGCTTTCTGTGTTCTAACCTCTCCATTTGTTTTTCAAAGCATCGCCAACTTTTATCCTAGTTTTATCAAGTTTCTGGTCGTGGAGCTGGTCGAGATTGATATTTTTCAGAACTTTGAGACAACACATAGTCCAGGTTTGTTGAGTCTTATTTTGAAATGGAAAGGCCACTTATAGTGGCCCTTCAAAGAAAGGGCGACCTAAAACTAAGAGTGTAAATTAGGATTAGGAGTTTTTATGTAAAGCAATCATTTTGTCTTCTTATAAGCAAATGATTAGCATAGACTATTGATTTTGAAAAAAGACAGTATAATGGTTAGAACTGAGTAGACATTTTTATTGGCAGCATAAAATGTAAAATAAGCATTTCGTTACATTCAAAGCTAGACATAAACAGGTAGGACTACCTTGAATGTTAAAGGTACCGATGATTATTGTTGTTAAGTAACAAAAAGGAGGTTCTAACTTTGCATTTACATAATAGATTACATGTAAAATACAATCAGAAAAAGGCCATCCAGTGGTGTTTACCTTGATGCATAGGCGTTTAGCTTATATAATGACAATGGCTTGGTAAAGAAAATGTGAGCTCAAGAAATATGCAGAACCTTTTTTTTTTTAAGAATTGCATTAATGCACCTGATACTCATGTTTCCCCCTTTCTTGCAAGCAGTGTGACACGTTCATGTGTGTGTGTGTGTATCTGTGTAGGTTGCAGATTGACGCATCAGACAATGTTGAACTCGCACACTGACGCCTTCTCAGCTCGGCAGCTCTCATCAAACCACTTCCCATTAGCGGTGGTGGAGAGGATGGCACAGTTCTGGCTGCGGCCTCCATCCGGCTGCAGGGTGATCTCTGTCTCCCAGTTCTTGAAGCGCACGTTGGAACCGGACTGGTCCACCCACTGGCCGTCAGTCACAATGTCGTTGACGCCCAGCCACACATGCTCCTCGGGGCCGATGCTCTGGCGGACGTAGCTGTACAGCTGGTCGTTCTCGTCGCCGGTCAGAGGAGTGACCAGGCTGCCTCCTTTGGCGATGCAGTCTTCGCTGGCGGCATGAAAGCTCTTCTTAACGGGGTCAGCCAGGAAACACTTCCCGAGGATCTTTGTGCCTCGTAGACAAACTGAGGGGCAGAGTATTGTTTTTATCAAGGTCACAGGAAAACTTAAATATTAGACTTCACAGAACATTGTATTGTCACAAGTATTTTTTTTATGTTTTTTTTTGCAGAAAAAGTTTTAAGCAACAACATTTGTACAAATACTAAATTGTCAAAATGTTATCTCTTGTTTTGATTTATTGTTAGCTTCTTGCTGCCCGCCTGCAGTGCTGCATCCCACCCTTTGGGAATCACTGATGTTGTGCATTACTAGGCAACACCATTCCTTAGGTTTGAGCAACACATTCCTTTAAAATATAAATAAAAATCATTCATGAAGAAATCTCTGCAGGAGGAATACCTGTTTGTAAAGCTTGCTGCTCTTTCAGCACATTCAGCTCTTGAACAATGTCATTAATCTGTTTCTTCAGCTCCTCGATTGCTGCGCTGTTTGCAGAGTCTGTTGAAGACAAAGAAATGCAAAACTCACTCCAAAGTCTGAAGAAATCGCTCTGTGTTCCTGAAGGACTGCCACAGATCTAAACAAGTGCAAGATGTTGCTCACCGTCCCCTACCTTTCTTTCCATTTCTTTTGTTCGAGGAGGTCTGCTGGAGCGCGCGGCGTGCCAGCAGGAGAAGACAGAACACCAAGAGAAGCCCTCTCACTGCCATGATGCTCTAAAAACACTTCAAATCCACCAGAAAGACACGATTTTGATGCAGCAGCACAAGACGCTCCTCTCAGCTCTGAGCTCTGGCCAGACACAGAGTGTTGTGTGTTTAGGACTCAGAGTTGAGTGAGGAAATCTCATGTCAAAGAGAACAAATGTTTTGCAGATGTTTAGCAGTGTTTTGTTTTGCTCTTGAAACAGTGAGGGGAAATGGATGGTGAACAGGATCGAGCAGTTTAACAGCTTTCAGACAAGCATGACTCAGGTTCCATATGTTTGTACTGATCCAATACGGCAGGGCCTCATTATTTGTGTGTGTGTGTGTGTGTGTGTGTGTGTGTGTGTGTGTGTGTGTCTGGGATGCAAATACTTTCACCACTGCCTTTTTAAAGCTGCTTGTTTAATTGAACTGTGAGTTTTCCTCTGTTGTGCCTGTTGTGTTTCTGCTGAGGCTCCATCAGGCCAGAGGTTTAATGTTTGTGGGTTCATCCACAGAACACATCTGGATCTCCTCGGTAAGCTGGATGGGGTGCAGCTGGCACGTGGCAGAGACTTATGTAATAAACAAATACTGACGGGAAGCGAACGTTTATGTTTTTCATCTCTTTTCTATTATAGACTGCAACATGAGACCTCTGGCATGAGGAACCTGACTGTCTGATGTTTCTAAATGCTCATTGGTTCCACAGTTCACTCTCAAGGACACGAGCCGACCAGCAAAAATAAACAACTGAATGTGATGCAACAAAAAGCTTGAACGCCAGCAAGCACAAGAATAGAACCTGTTATTCAATTGAGTCTCACAATATTCTAAATCTACACGTATAGCTTTCAGATCTGTTCTTTTACTCCTTGTTTTTAAAAACCCCAAGTCTTAGGAAATACCTTGTTATCAGTTATGACCAAAAGATAATCAAATGTTATTTAAACACATCAAATTTGCAATTCTACTCAGGAATAGAGTCAAAGGTTACTAGAAAGTCAAATCATTTAGGAGGATTAGAGTTATTACAACATGGTTTTTACCCCCCCATCATTCCTGTATTTATTTCTTGACTGGGACTTTATTTTCTCACCACATATTTGAACCTCCATATTTTGCACCTTATAAAGCCACCCTCATATGATTAACATTTATTCATGCTTCATGGCAGTGATTGGTTATGTTATTCGTGATGATGTTGTCTGTAGATGAGGGGGTTGAGAATTTGTGGTAATAAAATCATCAGTGTGTGTTTACTCTTTAAATGTCTTTATGGCATGAATTAAAAAAAAAAAAAGAACCTCCAGACTTAAAGGGTTTGATTTAATTCATATATCTGAAATAAGATATTTTACAAAATAAACAAACAACGGAGCAGGCTTTAAATAGTCCAGCAGTTTGACATTCATTGAGAATAAGTCTTTTAAAATGTACAAAAGTTCAGGCAAAGGCAAAGGCAGCTTGTTCATATATAAGAATATATACAGAATTATAATATAGCCTAGTCGTGGCGTATATAAAGGCTGCCCTGTGCACAGCAGGCACATCGACAGTCTCTGATTCAGAAAGTTCAGACAGTGCAGGGGTCACAAATTCAGTGTTCATTCTTATGCATAGTTAGTTACTATCAGTCCAGACTCCATCAGCTTCACCACCAGCACTTCATCTCCTCCACATAATAATAATATGTATAGTACATATAATGATGTATCGTTTGCTCTGCTGAGATGAAAGCAGGTAGCTCGGTGATTCTGCGGTTATATGGAAGGTGGTGTTAAATTATAGGATGGTTTAATTTTGGTTAACTGTAACTATTTGATTAGTTCAAACATTAGTTTCTTGTCTCTGATCGATCTCATGTGCCGTTTTGATACTTTAATTTCCTCATTAGGATCATTCAAACCTTCATAAATCTTTCTTTACTCTTTTGTTAACAATTCTGATGCTTCAGAAATATAGTTTATATTTCTCTATAACTGCCACTTCTGTGTTCAACGTGCTCAGTGCATTTTATCGTCGCCTCGTAGATAGCTTAGCACCTCCATTTAAATACAAAAGCCCTTTGCATCTTACTTCTAACCAACAGGTAAAGCACAGTTTACAAACACTGCAGCTTCTTTGCTGGTATGTATCTATCCGGACGCATTTCTTCTTACATTACTCGTCATTTTCTTTTACAATACTCTTTTGGAAAAGAAAAGTAAGACTGCACAGGATCACACATAAGGTTCTAAAATCACAAGGCTTGAACCCAAAATAAATCAAACACAATGGAAAAATGACACACAAAAAAAGTCACATCTTGAGGTAAAAAAAACATGCAGGAATAAATTAAGTGTGCTTCATGTCAGCCGAAAACTAAAAATGTGCCCTCTTCATCCACGCAGCGTGTTCGGCCGGCGGTGTCCCCTCTGGTTTTACGTCGGGCAAAGCACTGAAACAAAAGAACAGATGAAGATTAGCAGAGCTGTGAGTGAACAGGAATAACTCTACATAAACATTACAAATGACAAATAAGGAGATAAACACAGGGAACAAGTTCAGGAAATATCTCACCAGTTATTTATACACAATATTGTTGTTAAAATAGATTGGATGAGGGTGAATACTTGCAAAACTATTTCTAGATGAGTAAAAGTCCTAAAACGATCTACTGCAGGGTGAACAGAGCTCGACTGTGAGTCTTTTTCAGAGAGTGTAACACTATAAGGGATCAACCATGCTGTAGTCGGTCACCACATGGGACAGGGGACAAGTGAGAAGGAGAACATCAGGGTCAGACTGCGCTACACTGTGGTGGTAGAGGGAGGGAGGGGGGGGTCTGCAACACCACAACAGTGCACACATCACATGTGAAGGTGTCACAAACCTCCTAATCCACACTAGCTCACACCCAGAGCTAGAGAGCACAAGGCGGCGATAAGTTAGATCGCAGGAAGTAGAGACAGAGAAGATGAAAGAATGAAAACAGAACACGTGTAAAAGGAAGGACTTTAAAATAGAAAAACGAGGACCAAAATGTTTATATGGTGTAAATAATCAGTACAGTAATTTACATTATGCCTTTTAAGCACTAGTTTGCGTGTCTTCAAGGCAGTTTAAAGACTAAACAGTTGAACATTTTAGATTTCAGAATCAGCAGTGAACTTTTTAAAGCGCTCCAAAAGAACTTTCTGTTTCTGTTGATTCTGGCGCCCTCTGTGGACAAAGTGATATATATCTTATTTCTTGGCTCATTCTGTCCTGTACATTTGTAAGTAGTTTTTTTATTTTTATCTCATCCTGCTGTCTTTTACCTGTCCAATGTTTCACTCAATGCTGTCCCAATTATACCAAATTAAAGTCTGATACTAAAGCAAAATTATCAATTAGCCATGGTGTTGTTTCTTTTTATTAATAATTCTTAAAAATGAAATACATACTACAGGCATCTGCTGTAACAAACACTTGTTACAAATGCTCGCACAAAAAAAGACATTAAAAAATTAGCCATTAAATATCCATTGAGTAAAAGAGAATTTAGGCCCTTGATATGCAGAAATATTATTCTTGCGTTAATTTGTGTATCACTTCATTGGTGGTAAGCAATAATCAAGGTTCACTTTCACTACTTCATGCAGTCACTCTGTTGGGTAGATGTTGAATTGTGACTCTGGAAACAATAAAGACTTTTTAAATTAATGTTAGATCATCATTTATTTGTCGATTAAAGTGTGTCGGTTAATTTGAACCCACAAGGTAACTAGTAGCTACATTTATCAAAGAAACATGGTGGATTGTATAGAAGCAGAAAATGGAAAAGATAGAGTGCAAGTACCTAAAGACTATATTTAAATAAACTATTCAAAATGTTTGATACTTTTTTCGAATCCACATGTTTTAAAATGTTAAGATTTCTGTTATTTGAAAGACCAATACTATCTAAAAGGACAGAAACTATTTCATATGATGGGTACGTAGGAGAGGAATGAAGCCATCAAAAGTTGCAGTCTAATATAGAAACATTATGTTTAGATGTTTAGACAGTGTGCAGGAGTAATCTGGAGATTTCTGATAATTAAAAACAAGAACTATTGGATGGACTTATATGTTTTTGTTGATATGGTATCAAATCAGGTTTTGATGTACCTTGAAATTTGCTAGTATCATATTAATGTTTAAAATTCTGAATACAGAACACAGACCATCACTATACTAAAAATGACTAGCAATGCTAACATGTAACTAAAAATGAACATGCACCAAGTATTGAAATGTAGAAATAAGACTTATAAATGATGTCAAATATAGATGATTCATTGTAACATGCTCAACCAAAGCCAGCCCAATCACAATTACCTCACTACTGGAATCCTTCATGTTTCACATTTCAGAATAAATACCATCAATGACTTCTACCATGTGTAAACTCAGATCAGAGCAGCTCACCTTTGAGGATGTAGTCTGTTAAGAGGCTGGGCACCTTGTCACTGTCGTCCCTCATTGCATGTAAAACTGTAAGACAGGAAGAGACACAGAGGTAGAATGGATGAGTCAAAAGATGCTAAAATTCAAATAGAGTTTGGATGGTTTAAGAACTTACTCTTAGTCAGGATCTGGAGGTCCTCTAGCGACGGAGGGTGTCCCTTCTTCTCGTACGGGATGACTGTGGTCAAATACTGCAAACCATCACAGAAAAGAGACCAAGGGCGTGATTAAGGTCAGATGAGTGTTTATCTCTAGGGTGGTATTCATATCAAGTGTAGATTTAAGTGCAGAGAACAGGAAAATGAAGCTGAGCAGTTGAGAAACAGAAAGCAACCTGTCTTTCAATGCACCCGCTCCCAAAAGTCTGTCGAAAGCTGTTCTGAATGACAGAGGAGAGTCCCTCCATGCTGAAGCGCTGAGGAGGAGGAGGGAAGGAAAGCAGAGGAAGATAAGACAAAGAGGAGCCAAAGACAGGAAAAGAATCAAGGAAACGACAGTTTGTTTGAAAAGCATGGATACAGAAAACAGTAGAAAGGAAGGATCAATAAAGAAAACACAACCAGGCTGATTGTTTTCCTTATGCAGAAATGAAAGGATGAGGTACTCACTGATCCAGTCGTCTTCTCAGCCTGACTCTGTGATGACCCGGCTCCACCTTTAAGCTTTTTCTTCTTCTTCAGCAGCTCCCGGTGCTCCTTCTGTCGGTTCTGTACGTCGATGAGCGCGGAGATGAAGCTGTTCTTCACCTCCTTCTCGAAGTCCAGCTCGTCTCTGAGAGCCAGCTGCTGCACCAGCTCCTCCGAGAACCTCCTGATGTTTGCCTCCGTCTCCTCCAGGCGCTCGTTCAGCTCGGCCACGCTCATGGTACTCAACCCTGGACCACAGACACACACACACATATACACAAAATACTTAGGCACTATGACTGATGCAGCACAACTTACACTCACAAATCACAAGAACTCTTGTACATTATAGTGATTTTTATGATTGTTCCATCTATGAATCCTGATCTGTATGGACTTACTTCTCTCAAAGCTGGGGCTGCTGATGGAGCGCTGGACGTCCAGAGAGAGCATCGAGAGGTCCGACTGGGACGGATTGTGCCCAGCCTCTGTGTCAGGAGAGTCCTGCATCATCTCCTCGATCTCCTCGATAACCTGCGCGCAGCATGAACAGACACATCAAAGAGACGCGTCAGTCTGAAGAAAGGGGGGGAAAAAAAGCTGGAGGTTTGAATGTTACTCACCTGCTCTGCTGTGAAGAGCGGCTCCTCAGCAAGGGAGGAGACGATGATGGAGTGCATGTCCAGCTGCTCTCTCAGCTCCTCATCGTCCGACAGCTCAGTGGTCACATCCTTCTTCCCCTAGACAGGAGCAGAAAGAAGGGGAGGGAATTTAATCAAAGTACTAAACCCTGGTACCGTGAATATCTGAAATGTGTGAGGGAAGGGAGATTTGGTAAGGGAGTAAAGAAAGGGAAGGAAAAGTGGGACAGAGATGGGACGGGAGGGGCAGAGTTACTCACAGGTTTTTCCTCCAGGTTGAACGTGGGGACATGGAGGGAGCAAGTCCGAGACCGTTTCCAATCCACCGGCATAACATGGCCGTAATTACTGGTCAAAGCGTTCCAGATTCTGTGGAGAAAAAAAAAAGGGAACTTTTATTTTTCCCCAAATATTCAATTTTACCAAAAAAATTTGGTTTAGTTTAGCCAACACTACACAGTCTGTTTATGTGGTCTGTTGCTATGGAGAAAAATAACGCCAGATGTCAACTGGGTCATGGAGTTTGACAGATGTTGGAATTTACCAGGCAGAGAGTCTAGAATTGGTGCTGTTGGAATGCATTATGGGAAATGTACGATAATGTGTCTTTAAGGGTGTGACACCCTTTACATAAAAATAAATGATTTTCCATTCTTTACCGTCATTCAACAGCAACAGTACACATTCAATATTTTTACCACAAAGGATACAAGAGCATTCCTGGCCTTTTTTTGTTGTTGTTGTTGCTGTACTTAATAAAAGTAATGAATTAAACCTTTCATGATTCTAATGTGTTAAACACTGTGCACTGTTAAACTTGTAGAAAGGGAACTGGTGGCAATTTAAAGACATTACAGAAATAATTTTAGACATTACAGCCTGGAGTCCCAGTTGCATCAACAATGAGATAAAGTATAATCCCCCTACAGAATTGTTCAAGTTCGCTGCCATGGATGATGTCATTTCAAGGCATCAGAAAAACCTAAAACTGTAGTTTGGAGCATTCTGATGCAAAAATGGGCTCATTTAATAAGCTGTAATAAGCTTTATTTATAAAATAGTTTAGTAGCTGAGACTGTAGGGATGCAAATCTCTCATTATTGCAGGCTTTGACGCTGTTGTGAATATACTGTGTTCTCGCTAAACACAGGTTTTTGCACTAAATGTTTTCTTACTTAAGCATAGAATGGAAATGTTACATTTATAGTTTGCATATGTTTTATAGATTTATAGTTCTGAAACGAAACCATTTTATTTAAATGGACTAAAGGGCCACTAATGAGGATATTTTCCGTAGCCTGCCAAAATATTAAGTGCACAATTTCTTCTTTTTTTTTACTCAAAACGCAGCAAATGATCACATTTCAGAGGCTTAAACCAGAGAATGTTGTTTTAATATTTACATATGACTGGAACAAAGAAAAGGTCATCAAACAAGGCAGAGAATATTTATTGATTAACTTAAGCTGTAAAAATCACTGCACAGCTCGACTGATCAATGTACACTTCTCATGACGTCACAAGAGACAAAGTGAGATTTGGATTAAAATTCCATATCGGCAAATATCGCTCATTAAAAGTCATGTGGGGACAGATGCCGATAGCAGACTGATACTGGAGCACCTGTTTGGTTGAACATTTTTAATCTGAACATTCCCACAGTGTGATACTGCAGCAGTGTTAAAGCAGACCAGTGTCCTGTGTTTTGATGACCTCATTAAAGATGGTGGCGATGTGTAACTGTCCCGTCCACATCCTAAACACACACATTGACCTTTACTCATAAATATCTGCTTCCTGTTCTTCATTTCAGGTGGTTTGTATTTGCACGGTTTTATCTAAGCAGGTATTTTTTAATCATGAACATCCACACATCATTATAGACGATATTTTGTCTGTGGAGAAGAAAACCAGACACAATAAACACTCACTCGTCTTCCTCCAGCAGGGTGTCCTCACCGATCACGTTAACCGGGGCGATGCTGTCTGTCTTTGCGTCAAAATTTTGAAAGCACACGGAGAGCTTCTCGTCAAAATCGTTCACCAAATCCTCCATGGACTTGTAAACACAGGCGCCCCCCGGGAAGAAGCTGCCGTCTCGCAGCTCGTTGATATCATCATCACCATCACCCGGGAGGAGCTGCCGGGCTGCTGCTGCCGCCTCTTCTTCCCCCACAGCGGTGACTGCAACGCGGCCTTTCTGGTCCGCGACCACCATGCTCGGATCACTGAAAATCGGCCAGTCTTCGTCGAAATGTGCGATGGGTGCAGCCATAGCCCGGACCAGCCTTAACAGCCCCGGGTTAGTGATGGATGTGTTTCGGGACTGGCAGGCCCCTGCATCCTCTCTGAATGCTACTTCCCTCAGGGAGCGAGGCTGAGCCGGACAGTGCGGCTGGTTCTCTCCGGGAGGCCGACTAGTGGCTAAAAGTGACCGGATGGCAGAGTAACCAAAGCAGGACATTCTGACAGCATTGGGAAAGCTTTTCAATTTTATTTTTTTTACGATAGCTTGGATATAAATATAAATGTACAAACCCATTTTAATACTATAATAATATGTATCACTTTATTAGTTGGTCACATTATAAGACATTCTCTTTTGGGAAACTGTGCTTCTCTTTATTTAATTTTTTATTTTGCAAAAATGAACATAATAAAACAAACAATAAAAGAGTCGAAAGCCAGTCATTTAAAACAAGATGAGTAAAAAAACAAATGCCAAGTTAGTGTGATTTTTGTGTCGGAGACAGAAAGCGCCCCCCGCGGTTAGAAGATGAACCGTCCAAACATTGCTCCACAGTTAATCCACCGCGTCCCCCCGCGTTGCTAGTGGCAACAGATTCCAAACAAACCCAAAGAAACTCGGGGAAGCCCTCTCTACAGAGAGCCTGACCAAGTCTGCGATATTTAGACCAATAGGCTCTCCTGTTTCAGGTAAAATGAGCTCACCTTTGTCCATGCTGAAGAAAACGAAGCGCACTCCACTGCAGGGCCATCAGAATGAAAAATGGTAGGTTACTGACAGTGAGATTTCATTTAAAGTGCTACCTTCAAGTCCCTGTTGCTGCATTATCTTGTGTTTTATCTACAGGGACAGGCAGAAAGTGCCCTTCAGGAGGAATCTGTTAAAAGGTAGGTTTGTCTTCAAATCTTAGAAAAGAAAAGACTGCACTTACAGGTCACTTAAAACCCGTTCAAGTCATAGCTAATGATTATATTCAAGTATTAAATGACAGAGGCAGCAAATTCTCACATTAGACTAAATGGAAACATTAAAAACAAATTTTATGAAGAAACATTGAACTTGTAATTTCTGTCTAACAAAGACGGGGTCAGCTTGAATTGAATATTGGAAAGTTTAAATATTATTTTATTTGTATGTTAATTATCAATTTGTATATTATAGCTGACAAATAATTTAGCTGGAGTTAAAATAAGAAGTGTTCTTACTTAAGTGTAGTAGAGAAGAAGTATGAAGTGGCGTTAAAATATAACACTCCAGTAAAGTACAGTACAGGTTTCTTCAGTAAATGTGCCTACTGTGTCTCACACTTCCTGAAAAAAACAACATATAATGAGTGCAAAACATGCTCCCAGTAACAGATGAAACATGAAGGTTCTCTTTAATCAGTTTTATATTCGTGGTTCAGAATTTCAGGCAGAATTGGCCGATGACGAATCCTGTGATGGAAATCCTCCCCAGACCTCGAACACTCCTGCCAACTCTGTCTCAACTTCTAAGTCAAACGCTGCCTTAAAGAAAGGTATCCTTTGCATTGTTGTATTTACTCTAATGAAGTGCAAAGCGTGCCTTTTCAAACTTTTAAACTCTGGTTATTCAGGTGCTCCTCCAAGCAACTTTGAGCTCATGTCGGCCATGATGCAGCGTGTGACTCTGCTGGAGAAAATAGTGAAGAGCCAAGCTCAGGAGCTTGAGCAGAAGGTACTCCCTGAGACAATCGTTGGAAACCTGACAACAGACATCTTTCAAATTCAACTCTTTAAACTGTCTTTTTTTTTCTCCTGAAGAATGAAAGGATTTCTGTATTGAGGGACAAACTGAGGCTTCTGAAGGAATCAGGTAACAACTGCTTACTTGATGGTTTGGTATTTAATTCCACCGTTTGATTAAGGCTACAACTTTTCTGTTTGTCTTTTTAAAGAGAGCCCCCATGATATTGAAAGTAGTTCAGCTGTTGAAAGAAGGTGCCAAAAACTACAGAATCAAGTGTGTGAGATGGAGGCAAGTTGACGTCATAAAACATTTCCTTTCCGTCTTCATAAAGTGATAATCACACCAATCTGATTTCTGCTGATGGCTGTCCTGCAGAGCTTTCTGAGCGACTACGGTTTGATCTGGGTGGGAGGTGAAGGCGAGCAGCCGCGTAACTCAGAAAGAGGCCTCTGGCAGCCAGGTAGCTTCTTTCTGTGTCAAGATTTTTCCTCTAAAAAACACGAACTGTATCCTCTGCTTGAAATAAATCATAACCTGCTGTGTGTATCATCTGTTTAAGACACCTCTGAGGCTAGGATCTTCCACATGAACTTTGAGCTCGTGCTGCAGAGGATCAGGGAGCTAAACATCCTGGCCGGGGAGGGAGAGTGTTTCGTTCAATCGACTTCCACCGGGGCTCAGCTGGCAAAGAAGGATCCTATTCAACTGAGTCTGTACAATAATGGCATTGTCATGTTTCAGGGTCCTTTCCGCTCTTATGAGGAGCAAAGCACACAGGTAAGCTCAACAGAAGTGCTACTCTAATACTATAACACTAGGGTTAGGGTTAGTATCTACTTAGGATGAGTTGGTTTAAATTCTGTCTTTGGTCTTTACAGCAGTGCATGCAGGATCTGATGGATGGGTATTTTCCAGCCGAGCTGCAGGAAAGATTCCCAGATGGTGTGCCCTTTGAGGTTTGTTTTTGCTCGTTGGAAAGCAACCGTGTGAATGGAAGTCCCCGCTCTCTAATTGTGATTTTCTTTGTGCAGGTTCACGACAGGCGGCATGAGGAATTTAACTCCAGACTTCCGTGGAGTCAATTTCCTGGAGAAGGACAAGCTGTTCTCGGGAAAAGAGATGAATCAGTGAATGTCGTCAGCTCTCGGTTACCCGGTCAGTCCCCCAAACATCACACCAACATTGCTCACCAAAAAGTAGAAACACACCCATATGATCAGTTTTCTTGGCTTTGAGTATCGGTCGATACAGAGCACTGATCTCATTCCACTGTTGAAATAATAACCAGCTCGCCTTTCTGTGGGGAGGAGGCTGGGCTCAGAATGTTATGTGTACAGAAACATCAGGCTTGACTTCAAACATTGTCTTTTTTAACTTTTTAAAACAAAATCTTTTGTTTTGCAGATGTCGAACTTGTTGGCATAGCAACAGTTTAGTCTTAACATCTACCTTTTCCCCTTAAGCTAAATAGGGACATAACAGGCTAGTGAGAAAAAAACTGGTAAATAAGTAGAACTGTTGCAGCTTGGTTAGGTTGAAAAGAAACTTTACATACATGTGTTAGTTTAAGAACCAATGCTACCTGTGGAAGAGGGGGAAGGTATCACAGGGTAACTCACGACATGTTCATTCATATGACACTATATTCAACAGTTTTTATTATATAACCTAACCAGCATTTAGTAAAAGATCCTGTTGAAGTAGAAAAAGATGGTTTGGGCTCAGTCAACATGGACTTATAAACATGAAAAGCTGCTCTTTCTAAACATTCTTCCGCTTCTGAGCAGAATTCCCTATAGACTAACTTTGAGTCAACCGGTACCAGCCAATCAGTGCAGAGGAGGACCAGATAAGGCTGAACCTTGTTGGGATAAAATACATGTTATATGTACACGCAGAATGTAGAATGTAATAGTTTGGTCGAGGGTGGGCGCCATGTCATCCCTATTCTATTGCTGTATCCCTCTTAAGAAGTTGTGCATGAGGTGGAAAACTTCAGGATTCACTGTCACTACTGTGTTTTCTTCTGGTTATAGGCAAGAAGTTGAGCATTGATCAGTTCTTGAACAAACTACCGAAGGTGATAGTGAAGGCAGGTCGTGTGATTGATGTCAGAGACTCACTGAGGACTACCCTACAGGTGAGCAGCCTTAGTCAAAAAATTACCCCAAGGTTGCATATGTGTGTGTGTGTGTGTGTGTGTGTGTGTGTGTGTGTGTGTGTGTGGTATTGCAGAAGATTTTTTTCTGCAAACTTGCAAATCTGTCTTTGAATGTAAACACTTCAGTATGCTTCTCATCTAACTGTCGATAGGGTTCATCTGATGCCCAGAGCAGCTCAATGATCCTCATAGACACACCGGCACTGCAAGTCATGAAAGAGAGGTATGATGGAGGAAGTGTGGAGGTCTGCCATTACAAACTCCAGTTGCTCTAACATAAAGGCACTGTGTGAAGTTTTAAGAAGGTAGTACAAAATATATGACGTGACAGGATGAATTGATGATGCACAGATCTGGAATATTTTCACTTCATCTAAAAGTAAGCATTTTTCAAGAAGTCACTGAGTGTAAGATAGAAGATGTACGATGTATACAGTATGTTGTGATCATCATAAATCAGTCATGAAAAACTTATGATGAAAAAATTGGGTTTAAGGAATAACAAAATCATACTACATGATGTAAAGGGCGATTAAAAGGCTGTCTATGCCTCAGTGGCTTATTATGAACGTTAGTGCAGATTGCTGTTTGCTATCAGTCTTTAAGTCAGGACAGGTCACCATGTTATCTTGTAATGGGGTAGAGTCTCGGAACAGTCTGAGCTTTTTTTATTATGTCAAGTGTGTTTGAACTTAATATCTTACAGATTGCAGACATTTAGCACGGACCGGCCTTTGTCTGCCCTCGATGATATCACGCTCAAGGTGAAGACAGAAGATGGGAATCATACTTACATCTTGAAAATGAGCTCCTCTGAAACGATCGGCCACCTCCGGCAGTATCTGGACAATCACAGGTGAGCGAGAACTCCCCCTACACTGACACAATATCTTTCTCTAAAAAAAAAAAAAAAAAAAGTGACTGGTTGTTTTTTTATTCTTATATTACAGAGGGGTGCATCTCCATGGTTATGACATCATCAGCGCATACCCACAGAGCTGCTACGATGACGACAGCAACACGCTCCAATTGTGTGGACTCACGAGTAACGCTACTCTGCTGCTGCGGAAGAGGACAGGTCCTCCTTCACCGACTGAAGTCAAATAAAACTAAACGAACGATTATGAATGACCTGTACGAGATTTGAGTTTAAAAACAGACTTTTTCTCAGGCGTTTAGTATGAATAAAACAGTGGTACGGTATTGATGAGCCATTCAACATGATCTTCTATCAACATTACGACAAATGAGATTCTTTTCTGAGTGCCGGTACTCTCTGTTTTCTCTAAATTCAAGATGTACAGCTCTTTGTAAGGGACTCACTGGGAGCACTTTATGTAAAATGAGGAGGACTGCTGACTTGGTGGCCCCCTGTGACTGAAAGATAAACAGAAACACTCACTGACAGTGGTGTTTTTTGTTTGTGAAACGATCATGTCACGATCCATAAATAATCTGCTATATTAAATCTCCCCGGTCATACTCATTCATCGTCGTCTTCACAGAGGAGAACCCAATACATCAGTTGACATCAAACATCATGAAATTGAATGAAATGGGAACAAATTTGAAGAAAAAAATGCAGAAAATCTTTATTTCTAAAATATGCAAATACAAACAAGGACCAAAGTATGAAAATAGAAACATTTTTTTCCCTTTTGCAAAAAACATTTGAGATGTTAAGGCATGCGGAGCCTGACTTTTCCTAAGATAAATCTTGTGCTACGTACAATTTAAAAAAGGTCCCATGAAATGAAAAATGGCTTGTGTGTCCCTGGATGTTATTGCATATTTTCATATTAAAATCCCTTTCACTTCCTGTAAAGTGTTGACTTTTCTAATGGCTCTGCCTATACTGGGGTAAAATACAAAACTCCTTTTGAGAGTGATGTGATTGGTGATTGAGGGCTGATCCAGCCAACCCCTCCCATCATCACCATTACCGCGTGGGATTCAAACATTTCCCCTTGTTCTCTGAAAAGGTGAAGGATCCTCGATGATCACTTCCAGTCTTACATATTAATCTTATGAAAAGAGGACAAACCACAGGACAGAGTTACAATCTAAAAGCCACTTCATGGGACCTTCACACGTTGTGGACGCTAAGTTTGCTCAAACCGCATTAATTAGCACATTGTTACAGCGACACATTAGTAGGACCCACTGAGTTGTCAATGCAAACAAAACAAATAAATAATAATACTGAAGATTAATACTGTTTTTCAGTCATTCCTATATCATAAAAGTTAACCTCTGTGTCTAATGCAGGTCAGCTGTTATCAGCCTGAAATGTACAGTATGCTGTGAGGTCACACAGATTTGAGAGTTTTAACTAACCTCATACATCTAAACAGGAACAAAAACAATGTCGGGCCTCCACAAGCTCCAAAGTGATCTACTACATTCAGAGTCAGGGAATGTATTGACTATCCTACTACGCTGAGAGAAAGGTCATATTGGAAGAGTCCGCTGCAAACAGCCCTTTGTGGTTGGTCTAAAAATGAATTAGCATTGTGGTTGCAAACATGACAGAAAGGCACATGTTGGTGTTCATTCCGAACGAGGTTTGCAGCAGAGAGGAGCGCTCACAGACATTCACAGACTGGACCAGAGTTTTTTCTTTGGTATCAAAACTGTTGGAGGCCTGTCGGTGTGAGAAGCTGATTTTGGTATCAAACCCTTCAGTTTAGTACTTTTCTTTTTTTACCTCACAGCAGAGACACATGTTACAGTGTTTACCATTTTAAATAATGGCAATGTTAGTAACATTTCTCTAGAATTCAGTTAAAAGCACAGAGTTAAATACTTTCAGTTGATTGTCAACCACTTCTTGAATAATTCCCCTGCAGAGAGAAATTAACATTTAAATAAATTACATTTGTGGGACCTCTAAACAAAAAGCTATCCACCAGAGTGGAAAAAAAGTATAAGACTGTTTGGTAACCGACGCTATCATGTCATCATTATACAATAAGACACACACACACACAATGCGTAAGGATCAAGTATTAGAGGTAAGTTATTTCCTGTTAGCCCTTGGACTGAAATAAATGAACTCACCAGGGGATGGGAGGGTTCTGAGCTACAGGCAGGCGGCTTGAGGAGAGACATACAGTCAGTCTAGAGAAGGAGAAGCTAAACCATTTGGGCTTTCCTCTGTCCTCATTTTAAGAAGATTAAAATCCAGTCCTCTTTCTGACATTCAGTAACTGAAAGACAAGCCCGTTTTAGAGTCTCCAGAGATGAAACAGGCCTTTTACAAGTTTCTTCCATCACGTGGGTGCTGGAGTTATTGGGTGATGCAGTTTTCTCCCATGTCCTGTGCGTAACGGTCCAGAATCACATTCCGTAGTTCCTCGACATCCCGACGGAGCTGCTGAGCTTCAACAAGCTTCTTCTGCAGAACCTCAGGGTTCATCCAGTCCTCGGGCTGCTCTGCCATGGGTGGGGGTGCTGGAATACAAAAAAAAAACAGGAGTCATATTTGTTTCTTCCTAAAAAAGGGTTTATGATCATAAGAGAGATACCATAATGAAACAGGACTTTTCTAGTCTTCTGACTACTCAACTTTTACACCACAAATCACACCTACACATTCTCACACTGACGGCAAAGGCTGCTATGTATAGTGTGCATCAGTATTAATAAATCCATTCATACACATTCAACTTGGGGTTAAGTGTCTTGCCCAAGGACACATTGTAGCTGCAGGTGCTGGTAATCGAACCCCTGACCTTCATGTTCAGAGATGACCTACTCTGGTTGGTGCCCATAACTATAACAGAAAGATTAAAACCCATGCTTACATGTGAGGCCAAGCAGCAGGGACAGGTTGGGGTCTTGTCCCTGAGCTCTCTGGGTCAGAATGCTGCACAGGGAGCGCAGGTCGCTGAGGCAGGACGCGATCTCTATGTGCAGCCTCTGTGTGAGACGAGCCCCGGCAGGCTGCAGGGTGGAGGAGGCCTGATTGGTGCTCCTCTGCTCGGGATCGCTCATTTGCTCCTGCAGGGTCAGATTCTGCTCCATCAGTTCCTGGTTCTGAGACGACAGCTGGAACCAAAACAGATTTATTAAGGATACACAAGCTCTCTTCCCTCCATACAAAGAAACAGGATCTTTTTTTTTTTTTTTTTGGGAGGGGGGGGGGGGGGGGGGTTAGTCCATCTCACCTCCTTCATGGCTGTGTGGAGCTCCAACACATTCTGCTCTTTGGCCAACACCTCCTCTCTGAGAGCCTGAGAGCTACTCTCTTCCTGAGATATCTGCTCCTCTAACGCCTGCGCACAGAAACAGGTGATGACTCACAAATACTAAGAACCACACAAATCATCAACATACAATTGAAACAGATAAACACCTGAATCTGAGAGCCGAGCTGTTCCATCATCCGGTGTTGCTTCTCGATGACCTGGACAGAGAAGAAAAGAGCTTAGAAACAAAAACTATGAACAACAATCCACTCCAAATCACTAATCTTTCTTCTTCTTGCACTGTAGCAGAAGTAGAAGTGTGTTTCTGACTGGAACAGACAAACACAGAGAAGACCCATGAGCTACACTCTAAACAAAACGAAACCAGACTAACAAACATAGATTAGAAGTGGTTGTTTCACTGTTTGATAAAACGTCTGCTGCTACAAGCATTGACCACAATTTACATAAACTTACTGCCAGGGAAATAAGCACTTCTCGTTTGTAGAACTTCACTGAAAACACACTTCCTCTTTGCTCACTCAGTCAGATTCTTTTTGGAGCTAAAGTCATAAAGTTCAAATATATAAACAGCAGATTTACAGTTCGACTGTGTAGAACAAACTCTGTTCTACATTGGGTAACAAACAAGGTAGAGACAGATTTTAACAAATAAAGCCCATATTTATAATTTTCTTCTTCCTTGTACACCCTCTGGACTTCATGATTACAAGCATGTATTGACTCAAAAGCTGTCCCATGACTATTTCAAGCCCCCGGAAAAGCTTTATAAAAATAAATACAAAAAAAAAAAACAGACAAACAACTGACCTTTTTGAGTCTCTGCTGCTCCTCCCTCAACGTGTTGTTCTCTCCTCTGAGCTTCTCGATATCCAGAGACGGCAGTCTGGCTCCGTCCTCCAGGCCCTGCTGTACCCTCTGCTGCATTCTAAAGAGGACAGCAATAAAAACCCAGAACACAAATTCAGTGACGAGTTATCACTGTTTGAATGCACACTCCCACTGAGAAGACGAGGCTTTGTTGTTAAGACTGTGTTCGTACTCAGTGATGGTGGTCAGGAGGTCTCTCTCCCTGCGTTTCTGATCCTCCATATGCGTGTCTTTTTCCCGCAGTTGAGAGCGCATCGTCTCCAAGCACACCTCGGCTTCTTGTACTTGCTCCTGTAGCTGAGACACCTGCTGCTCTGCCTCTAGAAGCTGATGGAAAAATCATTCCAGGTGTCATGATTTACACACAACAGACCAAGTGAGAATGAATGAAGATAAAGCGGAGCCATCCTCACCTGCTTGTTCTGGCTCTGGTAGTCCTCCAGGGTGGGCAGGTCAGCTAGGTATCGCTCCAGAGTCTCAATGCGCTGCTGGTTCTCTCTTTTCAGCTCCGACTCCTTTTGACACTTCTTCTTCAGATTGTTGATGTGCTTGTCTCGGCTGCGGATCTGCATGAACAGATAAATGTGGTTAGAAGGATAAGAAATGTGTTTTTTGTTAGTTTGTTTTATTTTTTTTTAATCAACTGTTTATGTGACAGGAGATTTGAATGGTTTCTCTTTAGTGACACTAATAATATACAGAGTTTTAGATCCTTTGCCATGCATCAATGCTGCTAAAATAGAAGCAAAGTCAACAGTTTGTAAATGGCTAAATCATCTTATAAACTTCTGAGCGCCTTCTATTGTTTTCATGTCATTTTCTGTTTAGGTGGTTAACACCACTGTAGGCCAGGAAGTCGTGATATGCGAGCACAAACCCTTTCTTCCTGTTTCTTCATCTCCTCCGCGTGTCTCTCACACGTCTCCTTCAGGCTGTCAGTTAGCCGTCGAGTCTCAGCCTCAACCGCTCCCAGTCTGCGCTCTGCCTCGGCTTTTTCCAGGACGGCACAGTCTGTGCGCTCGGTAAACTGCGCTCTCAGGTACACGTTTTCCCTCTGAGCCTCCTGGAAAGCCACCATATGACATCAAAGTTTAAATACAGGTTCTTGGGTAAGGTTTCTAAGGATGTAAACAAGGTTCCCAGTCATGTTTAGATAACTAACCTGCAGCCTCAGCATGCACATATCTCCGTAAGAAGCTCCTCGGCCTAGGAGAGCTCCTTGGACCTGCAGCTCGCTTTCTCTCAGACGCTGCTCCAGCTGGGTCATGTGCTGCTTTTGTCTGCAATGCAACGACAACATTGATGTCAGCAACTTTGTGG